AATTTATTACATATGTATTTCATAATATTCTATAATTGATAATTGCATAAAATTCCACATTGTTGTGAAATCCTTGTACAAGATTTCAGTCCATAATAACTTACATAAGATTATATTTATATATTTTGCTAATGTAAAAGAAAATTCAAGCTAGCTTCTTGCTATCAAAATAAAATTATAATTCTTGATTGACCTATGAAGAATGATAATAGTTATCCCAATGAGTAAATATAAATATCAATATTAATATATATATATATCTTGGATATGACATTAGATTGTCTAGAGATCTGCAAGTCAATATTCAGTAAGATTCTTCATTATTGTGTATCTTGTGATAAAAAAAAACTAAAAACTGAATAATAAGATAAGGTAGCAGAAGAAGCCTTGTAATATCTTCAAGATCATCATGTTCAGCCTAAATTGGAGTTAGGTAATAGTATAGGTAGAAATTAATTAAAAGTCTAAATTATGTAATTAGTAGTACAATAAGAAAGTCAACTAGCCGTTAATGGAAAAAAGTCAAGATACTAGCAGAAGCTCTTTGTGGAAATACTACTCTAATTATTTTAAATATTAATAATAACAACCTTGGTTTTGAAGGAATAAGAGCGATCATAGAGGCTCTTTACAAAACCAAAGATTTAACTTTGAATATAGGAAGGATAAACCGAGTATCTTATATTGTATAGCTTTAGATCTTAAGGTAATTATTTGCAGAAACTTGTTCACAGAGATTTGTATAGCAGATTAGTTTAGAATTTCAAAAAGATTTAGACTTAACTCTCAAAATTTTACCTTAGTTTAATCTAAGGAAAATATCCCCAACATATAGTAAATATCTATACAAATTTACGCCAAATATATAGTATGCGTATATCAAAAGTCTTAGATAACTTCATATGCTCAAGGAGCATCTAACATCTAAAAGTATATTTTAAGCCACTACAATGATATAGGACACCCTTTATATGTATCCAAAGAAACCTATTAAGTTAGTAATCTCTAACAATACATAAATGGCGCTCAAACCTTAACAATATATAGCACTTGAAATTTTGATGGATTATTCATATACACAGACACCAGATATTATAGATTAAAATAATTACTCGTTGGTTAGGTGAAATTAATCTAAAACTTCATAAAACAGAAGTTTAGAAGACACAACCTATAAATATTGATCATGTCATGAGAATATAAAGAAAGAAAACTAAGGAATTTTCTGAATATAAATTAGGTATATCGATTTTGAAGGACCTGTAAGCCATGAAATTAAGCCTGGTACTAGCCCGTGAGTAGGTACTACACAAAGTAAAGAGATAGTATAATATGAATAATTAGAAAAATCAAGATTGTTTTCTATATAATTATCTGAATATGAAAGATAGAAGAAATAAGTTAGGGGGCACCATAAATCACCTGATTTCTATTTACTATAGAGTCTACCCTCTTTCCCCCACCTAACTGGTTTGATAGCCAATCAAATTTTACTTATATTAAATTTATTATTAAAAATATTTATAAATTTAATAACTGATAACTTTTGATCTACTGGTCCAATTTGGATGATTTAACTATCAAACTGATTCTCTCAAAGAGAGGATTCCAACAAGCCCAAATTCATAAAATTTCAATCACAGGATTATAAGATCGATATAGATTTATGTATTATTACTATACTATTATTAAATAAATACTATATACTACTACTGTAGTAATAATACACAAATCTATATCGATAGATTTAGACCACAGATAAGTTACTAGGTATACTTAGTTTCTAGGTTCTCTTAGTTATATATCTGAGTTCTTATTCTTAGAACTAGGCTTAAAATACAAAACCTTTTTCAATTATGTAAAAGGTTTTCATTAAGTTTAATAAAGATAAGAGCAAGGTCTTATCTTAAATATTAAAAAAAAAACAAAAAAACAAAAAAACAAATCTATATCGATCTTATAATTCTGTGATTGGAATTTTATAATTTTAGGCTTGTTAGAATCCTCTCTTTAAGAGGATCAGTTTGGTAGTTAAATCATTCAAATTGGACTGGTATATCAAAAGTTATTTACTATTAAATATTATAAAATATAATAAATAACTTTCAATTTACTGGTCCAATTTGGATGATTTAACTACCAAAATGTTCCTCTCAAGAAGAGGATTCCAACAAGTCCAAAATCATAAAATTCCAATTACAGAATCATAAGATCGATATAGATTTGTATTTTTTTGATATTAAAAAGTATTATTACTATACTATATTATTAAATAAATACTATATACTACTATATACTGTAGTAATAATACATGAATCTATATCAATCTTATGATTCTATAATTAGATTTTATGATTTTGGGCTTGTTAGAATCCTCTCTTTGTGAGGATCATTTTGGTAGTTAAATCATCTAAATTGGACAAATATATCAAAAATTATTTATTATTAAATATTATATAAAATATAATAAATAACTTTTGATCTATTAGTCCAATTTTGATAATTTAACTACCAAACTGATCCTCTCAAAGAGAGGATTCTAACAAGCCCAAACTTATAAAATTCTAATTACAGAATCATAAGATTGATATTGATTTGTGTATTAAGTATTTATTTAATAATATAGTATAGTATAATACACAAATCTATATTGATCTTATGATCTTGTAATTGGAATTTTATAATTTTGGGCTTGCTAGAATCAACTCTTTGAGATGATCATTTTGGTAGTAAAATCATCCAAATTGGAGCAAAAACTAATAAAAAATTCATATATAATATATAGTATATAAATAATATGTTGTATTAGCCAATTAGAATAAAGAATATATAGTAATCTGACTAAGCAAGAGACCTCCCTAGAAAATCAGGTGATTTCTGGTGGCTTCCTTATGCTAAGCTTATATATAAATCAATCTTTAAGCTGAAAGATGAATGTGATAAATAAAAGGATTAACTAGACGCCAAGTGCGAAAAAACCTACCAACCTAAATAAAATATTGCAGGAGTGATACTATCAAAGCTGGGAAGATACAATTGCATACCTTTTGAGTATTAAGGCTAGAAAAGTTCTACTATGTACTTTTTAATATAAAAGAATCATCATTAAGTAGAAAAACTTGTATTAGTATTTAAGTATTAGAATTCTTGCACTTTCATGATTATATGATAAAAAAAAAAAAAAAAGAACATTCATAATAGTTTTGTATAGTGAGCCACATAGCAATATAAGACATAATGATAATTACCTTGAACTACTTAAAGACAACAAAAATTTTAATATAATCATATGAATCTCCAAATACAAAAATATTTCAAGCATATTCAGCAATTTTAAAATATAGATTGTTATATTTTCACGATAAACAAGCAAATATTAGTAAAGATAAGAATAATATTAAAACAATTGAAGAAAGAAAATATCTCTATACAACATTAAATATTTGAAATCTATTTAAATAGAAGCTCATTGACTTTGTTTAAATTTTACTTATATTTATCAAAAATGTTATCAGAGTAATAAGATTTAAGAGAATGCATTAGTTTCACTTATTAGTCGAGATGATTTACAAATAGAGAAAGTAAAAAAATTTTGGAATCATATTATTGAATGGGGAATTGCTCAAAATCCTGGTTTAATATCCAATCCTAAAAAATTGTTTAATGAAGATTCTTTTGCTTTAAAGATATCAATTTACCATGTATCTGAAGTGTAGATCCAGGTGGCTAAGGTAATCTAAATGGAAATGAGTGAGTTAAAGGTAAGCCAAGGGTCTGAATAAAAAAACCACATAGTAAATATGATGGTGACAAAAAACAAGCTAATAGGATTGGTATTGAAGAGAATATACACAAGATATACAATGATAAACTATGTAATTGAAATAGTATTGTCATCAAAATGGAAACAATATTGAGACTTACAAGTTGATAACTAAAAGAGTTGAGTTAGTCAGATAGAATATTTGCACTTGGCAATTGCTATCATCTTGGAATCAGTATTGAAAGGGATAAAAAGAAAGTTGAACCAAGATATTCATTAGCTGTCAAAGATCTAAGAAGATGAGTCAGGATAACAAAGCATGTGATCTTTGCTATCATTATCGAAACAAAGTAAAAATTGAAAAGAAATACTTCAAATATGGTAAAGGAAAAAGCTGCAAATATGAATTATGCTGATGGGATATTTGAAGTTGGTATATATTATGATTGAAGTCAAAACAACTTATTAGAAAGCATTTAAATATTATATGAAATCTGTAAATATGGGCCCATATGTAGTGTTGGTGTAATACAGTCAGAAAATATAGCAAATTTGAAGATCATTTCTAGAATGCATCTAGAATGATTCCCTGCACTGTGATTGGATAATTATAATCACTAATACTCTTACTAATTCTAGAATTTAGAGGCATTCATAGTATTAAACCTCAACAAGTCGATATTCAAAAAGAAAGTCAAAAACTTCTAATCACATAATTAGTCACTATTTTTCAGTAATCAACCTTTTTTGAAAAAGTAAATGAGACCCAAAATAATGAAGAATATTATATTAAATTTTAATACAATGTATTAATTTCTTTTTTTTTTTGTTAAAATGTTTGTATAAAAGCTCTATAACAATATTGCAAACTTCGTCAGCTATAAAGAAGCCAAGAGCTGAAGATCTTTCTTGTGTATTTAGCTTAATAGCTAACAAATATAGTAAACTCAGATTAAGACCCTGTGAAACAAAGAAAAAGCAAACCTGAAGACATGCTGATACAGCAACCACCACTTATTGGCTTAAATCATATATGGATTATATGCCTGAATTTAAACTTTATTTGTATTCACACTTGATTTATGAAAAAAATTATAACCAAGTAATTTCTACTAATCATTTTTATAATCACCTTTTAGATAATCCTGCTTTAAAAAATAAGCGAGCCTGATCTAACACAAGCTTTAATGATTCTGTTCATGAAAAAAATGATAAACTGTATACAAAAACGAGATATATGGAAAGTTATGAGCATATAATTGCAGCATTGCAGCAACAACTGCAAGAACAAGAAAATAGTGAGCTCATTATGATTACAGAATTTTAACAGAACATCAAAAATCAAGAGCGAACGATATTGGAATTGAGGAGGCAGCTAGAAGATCGCAATGAAGTTATAGCTTATTTAAAGAATTTATTTAGTGGTGAATTTGATAAGAATGAGAAACTAGTTGAGCAATGGGATTCTCGATACTCTGATCAAAATAAGTGCATACAGCAGTCACCAATATTGCGCTAATTGAACAAAATTTTTTATATAGCGACGTCGAAGCTTTAATTAGGGATAGCGATAGATTTTCTTTGAAAATCTATTAAATTATACTCCTCATTTATAGCTAAATAGACACAATCAAGTTTTTGTAAAATTTATTAAAATATTAGCCTATAATAATCTCAATACAGAGTTTGAAAGTGCTAAAAGGCTTATAAAAAGATTATAGCTATCGATTCTGTGTATGGATCCAGACATGGAAAATATGTATTAGAAATGAACCTTGTAGCATCAGCAATAAAATATTCAATTACAAGATCAAAAACTATTATCAATATTGATAATCACATTACAAGCTTGGGGAGTTATTTCTGTTTTCAAACTTGGTTAGATGAATTATCTAATAAAGAAGAAGCACTATCAGAAGGCCTCCTATTTTTAGCATTTGACAATGAACAAAGGGGACAGAAATTATCTTGATCGAGGACTCAACACAGTAATATTTCACACTGTTACTAGTTTCGTTGCCTTCAACATGAATTCGCAAAATTATATTCAACATACTAATAATGCACCTTGGGTATTTAATTCTCTTGATAGGTCTCAATATGAAAGCCTTTTTGATATTATGCTTGAAATACAAGAAGTTATAGATAAGAAATTGCATTTTATCTTTCCAAAGTTCTTGGTTTATTGTGTGAAGAAAAATTAGCAGCAACTAATAAGATTGATTCTCTTGCATCCAACATAGGTTTAAATATTCGTTACAGCAAACAATGTCCTAGCTGTAAAAAAAAAAATATTGACAATAAAAAACAAGTTTGCCCAGCATGCAAGCTTCGCTTACCTACATTGTCAGAAATGTTAAAGCAACATGTAGAAGTAGAAGCAAAAGAGGATATAGCCGAATAGTCATTTACCTTTAAACAATATAGTACTGAAAAAGAGACTCTACCATCTAATACACCAAGAATTAGCGTAACTCAAAAAATACATGCTGATAAAGGAGTTAACGTTCCAGAAATTTTTATATCTAATCTTTTTGATATTAATCTTAACACAACTAAAAATATTGAAAAAATTTTTACTAATATCAAAAAAATTTCAGGGATTAAAGATAAAATACGTAAATAGGTAGCTGTAGTATACGATGATATTCTATATTATCAGGCAGCAAAAATTAAAAAAAAATATCTGTAGCTAATTCTCATTCTTGGGCAATTGCACAAAGAAATGAATATGCTTTAAGCCTTTGTGGAATTAAATTGGTAAACTTACCTTGTGCTTGAATATTTTATTTTATATTTTTTAACTTTTAATTATCTAATAGGGATATCGATCTCAAGCAATTTGCTATATGCCAGAGATATAAAACCAAAAATCAACTTTTCTATTTCAAGAAATACCACAACTATTATAAATCTTGAAATTCAATTTGCAACATTTATCGCCAAGCTATGACTATGGAATTGATGTAGCCATATATTAAGTATTACTCTAATTTGTCAGTAGAGGAATACTTGACCTGGGTAAAGAAGCAAATGGATCTGTGTTATCAAATGAAATTTGAGCAGGTAGAACTTTTAATTTATTTTTAATAATATATTTATTGGGTTTGTTATTATAAAAAATTATATAACTTTTAAATTGACTATTATCCTAATAAGTAATAATGCATAGCAGCTTGAATCAGATTCTAATAATCTTGGGTTAATTAGAATAGCCCAAATTCATTGATTGTAATTTATATCAAATCAATGCATAGATTCAAAATCACATTTTGCTGCTTTTTACTAACAGATTCACAAGACAAGATAACTCTAAATTTAGTGCAATATGGATTTGATTAGTGCTTTAAAAAGTTAAGTTTGAATTTTTGAATCAATTAAGCAATTAAATATTATACTAATATACATTTTTATTTGACATAATAGATTTATAGGCCAAGGTTGGCTCTAAGTTTATTAATACAATACGGATTCAACTAAGTAAGTTTGGATTTTTAAATCAATTAATTAATATAAGATACTATACTAATATACAGTTTTTATTTGATATTGCGTAATTATTATATAACTTAAATTTGTTATTGCGTAATTATTATGTAATGTAAATTTGATATTGTGTAATTATTATATAACTTAAGAATTAATATCTTGGCTAAAGCTTGAAATAGCTGATGCTTGAAATCAGGAACCTTGATTTAAAAATATAACCCTACACAAATTCACTTGTACTCTTTTATTATAAAAACTAACTCTAAACCCTAATCTAAAACTTTCTAAAAATTCATATTAAAATAATTCAAATTTCAGGCTTTAGCTGTTTCAAGCTTCAGCCGCGACAATTACTGCACAGATTTTCACTATCAAATTATTGTATTCAAGAAATATAATTTAAGTCAACTATATTGATTAGAATCTGATTCTTTTTTAAATAGCTAAAGTTATTATAATTCTTTTTAATACTAATTGATTATTTATTTCAAATAGACTTTTATTTATCTACAGGCCATCATTAATTATAGAAAAGCTATTAGGGAAAATAATCCATTATTAAAAAGTGCTGCAAGAAGGGTCTTTTCTCCAGTATAGTCTGCACGATATTATCCAATATATCATTACATAGAAGTTGCAGATGAAGTGCAACTGCTACAACTTGATCTGGCTATATGAGATGTTGTAGAGAACAATTGTGTAATTCACGGTCAGGGCTTTTTAACCAGCATCAAGGATTAGATGCAGTTTTGGAAGAGATAAATAAATCCTTGAAAGCATTAATACCTCCTGTTTCACAAATACGGCATTAGAGAATTGCCACACAAAATTGTAAAAAATATTTGTAGGTATTCAATTGCTATATGAATTAATTTACTTACTAAAACTTTTTAATGCTAACCCAAAATTATTGTAAATTTAGCTGCGAAATAATTTTTTCCAATCAATTGGATATAATGAAGTTCAGACAAGTGGTCTGAGAGTTAAACCAGAATCAGTTACAGAATGTGAAAGGTTTTGAGCTCGATTAAGAAAAGAAAATTTCATTAATTTGATAGTAGATTCCAGAACTACTTTTAAAAACTTAGAAGAAGAATATGAATTAAGTGCACAATTAATAAAGTTTACTAATTTAGCTAAACAGGCTCAAAAAGAATATATTACTGAAGTTTTTTATAAAAATAACTCTATTCCTTTATTTAGGTCTATTACAATTACCTAAGAAGAAGCGATTAAGCTAATGAGTGATACAAGTATGACCAATGTGAAAATCATATATAAAATTGAGACACTTCTTGAAGAGGCAAGTGATAGTGTTCGAAAGAAGTATCGTGGAATAAAGTCCAAGAGGTAAAATGAACTTCTGGTTATATTAGAAGAGGTAAAATCATTATTTAATTCTAATAATGAGCTTGATAGTCATGAATCTACTGAAAATTTAGAAGCACAACCACATGATAAAATAGAATATGCTAATCAGAATTGAGATTTTGTAGCGCTCTATTTATTGTGATAGATTAAAATGAAATCAGATTAAAATAAAATATTGTGCAATGTAAAAAAATAGACAAGCCGCCAAAAAATAAAAATTTTTGAGGTATATTAGTTTTAGAGTAGAGTTTGTAATAAACATGTACAAGTGGGTTTTAAAAGGTTAAATAAAAACTCTCATTGTATTTTAATCCGATTTCATTATAATTCACAATATTTATAATTGGTTTGGATTTAAATAAATACAGAAATATATAATTTTTTAGGTTTAAATTAGGATATTTGTTTAAGAACAACTTTGATTTAATTCTAAATTTTAAATAAATATAACATTTATTATTTTTTAAATATTTAAAATATACAATTTTTTTTTTTGTTAAATGAACTATCTATGAATAAATAAAGCCCAACCTAGAAGCATTTAGCCAATATGATTCTAAGCAAAACTTTTTGGGTTTTGTCTATACACAAATTAATCACATGATGCTATATCTCACACAAAATGAATATTTATCCTAATAAAGTTATTTCATATCTTGTACAATATTATATGAATATATAATATATATGTTGGGTTTATCGCACGAGAGGCGCATCTCTAAGTATATTACAGCATTTGGTGAATTTAGTCTATGAATACAAGAAATAAAAATAAGTAAAGTTCTGATTGCCCTGATCTGAAAACTATTTGTTTAGAAAAAGCTATTATAAAATACAACGAGCTCTGTATGTTACTAACCCTGATTATTACGAAATTTTGGTACTATAATAGTAAGTCGAGTAAGCAAAAATTTTGAATTTTTGAATACAAGTAATATGTATACTAGTATAAGTTCATTATGTCGCATTAGATATTTCTAGAATCATGTAATCGACATATCTATTACTATTAAAGGTGTAATTGGCATTACCCAAATTTGGTATAGTCTCTGACTATAATATATAAAGAAGGATCCGGAGTAGGAAAAGATTATGATAAAGCATTATAAGAAATCTGCTAAAATAGGTCAAATAGATAAAATGAATAATGTTGCTTTTTGTTATCATAATGGTATTCAGAAGATGAATATAGAAGCCTTTGGAAACTAATCACCAAATCATATCAATTCTGAACTTAAAGGAATATTGAACGAAGAAGATTTAAATTATCTTGAATTCATAGATATCGTAAAACTAGGAAAAAGAGAATTTGTAATTATATATAAGTTGGTTGGATAGAATTAAAATTGTATCTTCATATACAATTAGTTACTTATGACTTAGAACATAGATAAATTGCAAGGCATTAAAATTTTTTTTTGAGTACCTGTAAGTCGCGTATAAGTAGCCTAGTGTTGGCGCATATTAATAAACACTGTGCATGGTTTTAAAATATATTCCTGTATAAGCCACGAATATAGCCTGGTATTGGCAAGAATTTAATAAGTATTGCGCAACAGAAGAGATAAACCTGCCTTTAAAGGAGGGACAGGAATAATTAAGGAAATGTCTGCATTACCTGCTAGATAAGTCTCAATAGAAGCCCCAGAGAAATGTCAA